TAACTCCAAGTCCTATTTTTTCATTTGTGAATCTGGAAGACAGGTTATCTGCTTATGAAGTAAAATGGCAGAAGAGGCACTAGGTAAACATCTTCATTATAAATTGGATAAAATAATTATTAAAGGGATAATCAGCATCAATCAAGGAAAAAAGCTAGCAGAACAAATTATATTACCTCTAAAGGCTTGAAAATAACCCTCTGTCCTCTGAGAACATCTATACGATAGCTTTGCCCTCCAGACTCTGAGCAGAGGCCCTCAGCACTGGTGATTCAGTTCAACCTTCCATGACCACTGACACAGTAATCTTGTCCCTTGGGTTTGAATAGGTCCACTCTCCTAGTCCAACTGGAGAAGATCCTACTCCCTCGGCCCAGAGGCCTTGTTCTTCTGCAGTTAGCTGCTAACCAAAAGGCGAGTAGTTAAAATCTATCAGTCATTCCATGAGAGAAAGATGAGGCAGTTTACTTCCACAAAGATTTACAACCTTCCACAAAGATTTACAACCTTAGAAACTGACACTTCAGTTCTACTCTGTCCCACAGGGTCATGATGACAGCCCAGTGGCAGTATGTTAGTAAACTGGATTCTGCCATTATTTAGTAATGTGTTAAACTGCACAGAAAGTTTCAGGCATGTCTAGCCATAAAAGTGAAAATCTGAGAATTTTGCTCAGCTATATAATAAGGAATGTGGCATTCTTCAAAACAATCTAGAATGGAAAACTATCTATATACACAAAAAGTATCTGGTCTTATAGAATATGATTAGTTAGTACCACAATACCAGGGTCACGGAATCTATTAAGTTCTTATTTACCACATATAACTTAAACTAAAGAATGAAATAAATGAGAATACTAGTTCATTCCCTTGACCCCAAAGCCATCAAGTCAATACTGCCTCAGAGCTACCTTCCATTGGATTTTCAAGGCCGTAAATCTTTACAGGAGAAGACTGCCCATCTGTTTCCTGTGGAATGACTAGTGTATTTGAAGGATTAACCTTTTAGTTAACAGCACAACATCCTAAGCACTACACTAATAGAGGTCCCTAGAATACTAGTAGCCTATGCCAAAGTAATTAAACCTACTGAATAAAAAAGATAATAAGCAAAGTTAGTTATCATTACCTGCATACAAGCATCCTGACCCTGGATAGCAGCTATGTGAGCTGCTGTCCAACCTCTCTGAGTTACTTGTGTGATATCAGCTCCATGCCAAAGCAACCAATGAAGATACTACATGAAGAAAACAGTCATGTTAATGTAAGGCAGGCCATTTTAAAATATTTTAAATTTATCGTACTATCATGAAATTCCCAGTCCAGAAAGGCATCATAATGCAAGGGACAAGGGTAACAAAAATAAAAGGACTAGCATAAAAGTGATAGCCAGTACTTTGTTTCTCTTTAGATAAATAATAAGTAGTAGTAGAAACTATAATTGATAACTCTCTGTTACAGGTGCAAAGACTATTCAGTTTCAGCTAGTCATTGCTGAAGGGGAAGCACATTCAATGTTGGTATAGCTTCTGTTTGACCATTATGCAAGCTAACAAAATACATCTGTGAG